CATGTCTCACATTTTATCTCAAGCATGCCTTTCACTCATCATTTTGTTTCCTTGGTAACCAAGGACACTCACTAACAGATAAAACTGTATTAGACACATTGTTCATTGCAGTGGATAATTAAACTGTAATCAATCATATATTGAAATGGTTTATGATTATTTCACTCCATGTTTATCATTATAATGTTTTTAAAATTAACGATGGGTCAGGGTCTGGAACAAAAAAAAACAAGACAGTTTCAAAATATCAGTAACAAGCAAACAAATAAAAACAAAATAAAAAGACAGGAGGCTTAAATCTGCAGAGTATATTATTATGTGATAAAAAAGAATCTTGTCCGTTCATTTCTCAATCATTTCATCCGGTTAACACCATCTACGGAGTGTTACGCAGTGACCGTTCTCACTGACGTCTGCCACGCACACATACACACACACACACACACACACACACACACACGACAGGATGCACGTGGGAGGAGAGAAAACGCCGGAGACAGCATGAATAGGAGTAGGTGGATAGAGAAATCTACTTTCCCCCTTCTATTTCTCATCCTCAATCTCAAACAGGCTTTTACCTGTTATGCAAGGCGCTGCCTACTCTCAGCATCATAGAAAGAGCCTGCTCATTTTCAGATGTACCAAAAATAAATTGCATTCTGTGAACTTCTGCCAAACATAGTCTAACGGACAGGCATACTCATAAAAACCCTATTATAGATGCGGGTTGTCTTCATTAGATTGCGTTGCAGCTTTTATGTAACTGTGGATGATGAACAGTTTGTGCACTCAAACAGAAGAAAAAAGAACTTAACACTATAAATCCACACGCAGCACGGTCTGATTGATTCCTATTTGACGCAGAACTCTAAATCTCTACAGCTGGGATGTAGATATTCCGTTGTTGAGTTATAGGGACACAGTCCAAGCCAATTTCTGGAGCTGCAACTCCTTCTGCGATTTTAAGTCTCCAAAATCTTTCAGAAGATTGAGCATCACCTCCTTCACCAAGAGCAGCTCCAGATGGACAGACTGAAGCTGAGAGCCAGAGAGAGTTGAAGAGCTGTTCTAGGTTTACTGTGCAGCTGCGAGTACAATCGCTGTGCTTGCTGGTCTTTAGAGATCGAGCTTGAGCAACACAAGCTTTGAGAATGGACCCTTTTCACATTTCTGTCGTTCAGAAGCAGAAGTCGTCATTGTGTAAACTGCTATAGTGGTGAATGGGAGGTGACAGCAAATGTAATGTTTGTATTCCCGTTTGCTCCAATAGCAGAAAAAAAAAATCCATGATATAATTTCCAAGACTTTCCGAAAGAGGGAAAAATATAGAGATTCATTACAGCAGTCAGAGGAGAGGATGATGTGAAATTTGCCATCACTCCTTCACTCATGTGATAATTGGTGTTAATATCTTTTTTTCTCTAATTTAATTTCAAGGAAATATAACATAGTATGATTAGAATTTTAGAGTATGTGAATAATGAAACACAAACAACAGAGTTATAAATGTGTATTAAAAGAAAGAAATTATGAAAATATTTAATATATACAGTTGATTTGATTTGGAGTTTTGTAACAGAAATCACTCTCATCAGCATCTTGAGGTTGTTAGGTTTCTGATAGTTCAGTTCAGAATCTTGGCAGAAAAAACTATCACTGAGTAAATGTCTAAATGATATTTCTGCTCAAAAATGTTCCATCTCAGGTCTTTATCTGGCAACATAGAGTTTGAAAAATATATGGTTTAACAAAGTTTTGTGGCTTTTAGTCCATGTTTTTGGGGTTTGAGATAATCTACAGTATGTAGCCAGCCTACTGTACTGCTGACAGAATGTAAAGGGGTGATGAACTGAGAAATAAAATTTTCCTTGAGCTTTTGACATCTAAGAGATCATCATATTTTAAGAATATCCTGTAAGTATCGGAACTGAAAACGTCCTTGTTAGTCCAATAAAAGCTTTTATTGACACCAGCCTCAAACGACTCGTTTTTCAAAGTGGGGAACTATGACGTCAAAGAGGATAAAACACCATCACCGCAGAAGATGATCAACGCCTACTTCAACACGGCCGGTTTAGCCCCGCCCACCGATAGCGCATTACGCGCATAGCTAAATCACACAAGCTAACCTCGAGATGACAAACCGGATCGAGCTACCGAGCAATACAGAATATTGTGCAGTGCCTGATTGTAAAAGAAGACAGTGGCTGCATAAGCTTCCTCTGGATTCCAATAGGTCTACATGGATAAACTTTATTTTTAATGACGTTCCAGCTGATGAGGTAAAACATTGTCTGTCTGTTCACTTCATTTCACTGAGTATTGTTTTGTAAACAAGACTGGATTTGCAGACCGATTTAGGCTATGTTTACACGGAAACAATTCTGAAGAGAAAACGCAAAAGTGGCGTTGCGTTATCACTTTTTATTCTGCGTTTAGACGAGCGTTTTGGGTGGTAAATCCGTGTGCATATGGTGACGCAAAAGCGTGTGAAATTCAATGTAGTATGCACTCCAGGCGGCTAGGTGGCAATGTGGAGCACCGCCACACAACAACACCAAGTCCGCGCGCCTGCGTACAACCTTCACTGTCAAGCAGACTTTTGCGTTTTACCAGTTTTTACCCTTTACACGGGATGTTGGGATCATGAACTGGCTTCATGTTGGGATGTTGGTATCATGAACTGATCATGAACGCGGCTGTGTTTTTAAGATTTCCACTCTGGAGAGTGGTTTCACTTTTTGCATTTTTAAGCCCCAAAAACGCTGCCACCGTGTAAACGAAAGGCACATATTTTTAAGTTTTCACCCGCGAGCGTTCGAATAAAGAATAAGTGTGGAAAGAATGGTGCTGTGCCGACGCCGTCCATATTGGATCTGACAGGAATTGTGCAACACACGGACTCTGGGTCCAACTTGTATGGGCGAATCATTTCGGTTACAACATGACATCATGACTTTTGCGTAAACATATCTATACACATTTTGAGCTATCCGCGTGTATCCGTGTGTCATTAATGCCCGAGTGATTCCGCGTGTCAATACATGCCGTTAAATGTCCGAGCGAAACGAAGCAAAATGTAGATCTACATCTGGGAAGCAATATTTTTTTTCCTAGAATGGCATGGGAAGACTCATAAATGCCATTAACCCCAGTGACGGGTAGGTTTAGGGACGGTGTTGAGGTAGGTCATTTATACAGTAATAACGTTAAGTCAATGGCGTTCATAAACACGCTGAAAAGCGATTATGCATATTGATAGCACGCCAAAAATGGAAATACGAATTGGCGTGTCATACACACGCAATTTCATGAGATCAGTCTGCCGGTTGCCATTTTACAACATTGGACATTTTCAAAACAATTTCCCCCAAGTGCATCAACGGGCGAGAGAACTCATTATAAAACTGTTCACTCACAGCAGTGGGCGTTCACTTCCAAGTCTTCAGTGCAAGACACCCATAAAAACCTAGCGTTTTTCAGCTAACTAAGGTACAAAATAGCCTATTACTCATTAATTTTGATGTTTTTGAATGCAAAAACCAAGCGAACGTCATAAGTTGACCTCAGACAACAATTATAATAAAATCTAAAAAGCCAGTTCATGACCCCTTTAAGATAGCAGATGCATTCAGTTACTTTTTTCTCTTCCCGGAGACAGAGGCAAAAATATTGATGATGCATTCTGCATTACAACAATTTTATCTCTAGCATGAGAATGTCCCTCCCCAAATTATCTTCAAGTCATCTAAGTAGCAGCAAATTGTGGCAAGGAAAAACAACAGTTAGTTGACCAATGTGCTGTATAAAAAAACTATGCAAAAAGCAAACACAAAAATCCAACATATCAATAAGCTTCAACAACAACAAAGAAATAAACGACAACAGTGTGGAGGCAGTTCTAATGTGCAAAGGCACAAACAAATCTAATTCAAATATTGACAAAAAATAATAATAATATATAGATACTGAAATAACAGTTTCATGCACTTAGATAATATTCTGAAGCAATAATAGGCTACATGTGTGTTGCACTGTGTCCCACATGGATTGCTTTTGCACACATAAATTCTCTATTAGTTTAAATGTTGATGATTTCAGATTAATTTTGGATTCAGAAGGTCGAGATCTGAGAATCACCTTGAAGATGATTATGCGAATACAGCTGACTCTCTCTGAGAATCTCAATAACTAGCTGGCCCCAGTTCTGCTCTGTGACCCAATTACTGTCATAAGAATAAAAATGATTAAGCAATTAATTTCCCCCCACAGATAGGCCTACTCACCAGAGTGGCACATGCACAAAATTCACATGGCTCTCAAATAACAGGACTTCTAACACACACACACACACACACACACACACATACACACAGCAATACGCCCACATTGCACTCCTCTACTAGCACTCACGTTTACAATATTCACACGTGTCTAAAACACATGACACAAACACTACAACACAGGGGTCAAACATTTGGTCAAATCAATAGCAACAGCACTATAATAGTTTGCCACACACCTGACTATATGAGAATGTAAAAGACACCATTATATGTCCTGACCAAAGCAAAGTCAAAGCATAAACAAACTAAACATTATTAGGAGCAACAATTGCTCGTTCGTTCGCTGTCTGACGGTATATTGACAAAAAGTGTTTGACAGATTCTGTTGTAATTTCTCAATTTGCTCTCTCTTTGGTTACCATGGAAATTTAGCTGAAGGCAATTATTATCACCCACCAGGCCAGCAATTAGGGTAGAACGTTTCAGATTTAGCTCCTACATTTCAGCTGTCGAACACTACAACCGAAGACTGGCTTGTGATGTAGCCTACATACGTGATGGATGGATAGGACAAATCAGGCGCGCTGTGAGAACAGGTGCACTACCACAAACATTGGCTGTGTGTGTCTCAAATTCATTAAGCACTCCTGCTTTGCATCATCAGTTTGATTGGATTCCTGGAGCTCATCGCATAAACTGACAGAGATTTTATGCAGTAGCTGTTGGCGCTCGTGCCCCAGTCAGCCTACGCCCACTGGATTTATACCGCCCCCTCCTCTATCCTCCGGTGCATAGGACGGAGAGCGCGAAGGAGACGCGTCCGTGCGGAGTTGCCATCGTTGGGGAATATTCGTTTAGAGGAAGTCTCCGAATCTTTCTCGAACGACAAAAATGGATGAAATGGAAGAGGAGTTAAAATGCCCGGTGTGCGGCTCGTTTTTCCGCGAGCCGATCATACTGCCCTGCTCGCATAATATCTGCCTGGCCTGCGCGAGAAACATCCTTGTGCAGACGCCCGACGCCGAATCCCCGCAGAGCAGCCGCGCGTCCGGCTCCGGCGTCTCCGATTATGATTACTTGGACCTGGATAAGATGAGCCTGTACAGCGAGGCGGACAGCGGATACGGCTCTTACGGCGGGTTCGTGAGCGCGCCGACCACCCCGTGCCAGAAGTCCCCTAACGGGGTGCGAGTTTTCCCCCCTACCGTGCCTCATCCGACCCAGGCGCAACACCACCTGCTGCCTCACACCGGCGTCCTGCCGCCGGTCCCGCGGAACTCCTGCCTCACCTGCCCGCAGTGCCACCGCAGCTTGACTCTGGACGACCGGGGGCTCCGGGGCTTCCCCAAGAACCGCGTGCTCGAGGGAGTGGTGGACCGGTACCAGCAGAGTAAAGCGGCCGCGCTAAAGTGTCAGCTGTGCGAGAAGAGTCCCCGCGAGGCGACGGTCATGTGCGAGCAGTGCGACGTGTTCTACTGCGACCCGTGCCGCCTCCGGTGCCACCCGCCTCGGGGTCCGCTGGCTAAACACCGGCTCGTGCCGCCGGCGCAAGGCAGAATCAGCCGCCGCGCGAGCCCCCGGAAGATCTCCACCTGCACCGAGCACGAGCTGGAGAACCTGAGTATGTACTGCGTCCAGTGTAAGACCCCAGTGTGCTACCAGTGTCTGGAGGACGGCAAACACTCCACTCATGAGGTCAAAGCGCTGGGGGCCATGTGGAAGCTCCACAAGGTGGGGAAACTGGTTGAGGTTGTTGTTATTGTTGTTGTTTATCTATTACATTTCCCCCCAATGACTAAAAAAACATCTCTGGCCAAATGGTTTTAGTTGGTATCACAGATAAACATCCTGGTCTAGATGTCTCACAGTCTGGTATTCAGAACGCCCCTAACCCTTTTAAATCAAGCTAAAAGCAGCTTAAATTTTGTTTTTTTCAGCCTGCTGAGGGCACTGGTTTTAGTATAAGGGTCTGTGATAGTGCAGTAAGACTTGTCATTGTGATGGGAGAGACACCACCGGTCTAATTAAAACACAGCGCACGGCACAGCCAGCCATGATTCAGGCCAAATGAAAAACACTTGTGCTCCAGCTCTCCGGTCTAGATTTGACTGGAAAAGGTACAAACATGTAAATACGTTTTGGATTTTGAGGCATCTATGAGAACTGCTGTGCACAGTCAGGGCTGTTTTATAGGGATGGAGGTTTAATTCATTTGTGGTGTATGCACGTTTTTAATTCAAATGAATTCGTTGATTGAACTCAAATATACAGGTTGCTCGTGTGTGTGTCTGGATTCCTCATGGGAATGTGCAAAACCGCTGTGACACTGGCCTGTTGTTGTAGCAACATGAGGCAGAGCTGATTGACTGTCTGTCTGTGAAGGAGAAAGGAGTGTATCCAATGGAGAGCCAAAGAATGAGGGAAGAGTCCCCTCTCTTTCTCTTAGTCCTAACGTGCACCATGCGAGTCAATATGTAAAATTGAGAGTGACTCTCAGCTAGACCTTTTTTTTTATGTAATCAGAAACCATAAACATGAGCAATCAACAGGTATGGAGATGATGGATCAATAAGCACATGGTTTAACATGGCACCCAAAAGTCATGTCTGTACATTACCCTTTTAATTTAGAAATATATTTTTGTTGGTGTGAGACAATATTGGCGATGCATCGATATTAAAATGCTGGGTGATATGATAAGCCGATAATTGCCAAGTGAATTTAGGCACCACAACACATGTACAATATAAAAATGAATATTCATTCTGAGATTTGCTAAAGATTACATTTAAACGGGTCATGACATGGATTTTTTTCACTTAAAGTTTTTTTTTTTTTTTACAAAAAAATGTGGAAGAACTTTTATTTTCTACCTTCATTCTGACCCTCTGTCTTGTCATTAAATGGCTACTTTTATGATTGCATAGGAAACGGTATGAACACCAACTCGCTATTGTGCGTGAGTAAGTGTTTTAAAAACATCCATATAAAGCCATAATGTACAGCTAAGCATTATGAAATAATTTACACACGGTTTGTGACGCAGTTGCTGTGAGATTCAATACAATTGGCTGCTTCATCTGTTAACCCTTAAATGCAGGAACGTTTCATTATTACTTTTTTGGGTCTTTAGCGATTTGTATCTAACACAGATGGATTTTCACCAGTCGTGACTCGTGATAATATAAACCTTTCCTGATATTAGAGGAAGAATAAAATATAGCATATTTTGTTACCTTTTGGAGCTTGAAGAGTTCAGTTTGAGTTCATCACTGTCCTCATCAGAGCTCATTTCCCAGTACATTCAGCATCTGGTTCTTATTCGAGATCTCCCAAACATATTCTCAAAACTATGTTTTCAACATGTTCAAAATCAATATTTTGATCACTGACAGCTTCTTCACCAGATCCACCATCAATTGACAGTGACACTAATATTTGACTGCTTTCAATATTTGTCACTGAGCCATTTCAAGAATTGCTGATGATATTTCCTGTTGTTTTCTGCCTGCGGTAACTATGAAACAGCACTTCATCATTGTGAATGAAAGGGAAAACATGAAAGGGAAAAAAGGTAATTTTTTTCTTGTTGTATTGTTTATAATGAATTGATTAAGGGATACTGAGGAGGAGGTTGATATCTTTAAAACTTTAAAACTTTTATAACTTTAAAAAACGAATGAGAAGGACGGTAGTGAATGACGTCAAGGGTAACTAAAGACCTGAGATATCCATTTAAGGGTTAACAAAAGTTTCTTTGCGAACTGTTAATTCCCCATTTACAAAGCAATCTGTGGTCAAATTCTCTGAACAAACATATAATCCTCCAATGAAGGACACCATTAAAATAAACCATCCAGTTGGTAAAGCAACCTGGTATTCTTCTGAAGTCTACAGAAATGAGCAAATGAGCTGTTCAGACAGAATGCATCAATGCGAATTTTCCTTTATGCTTCTATTCACTCATCCAATTGTCGATTTGTTGTCGATAGACTGTGAACGGGAATCTGTATGAATCCAGTATATTATGGGTTCTATTTGCTTTTGCGATGGTGCAATGATGTAAAACTATTTGTTTTTGTCTTGCTCTGGAGGCAAAGAATTAAATTTGTCATTAAATTGGTCAAAAGTGACAATATTACAAAAGATTTCAATCTAAACGTTCTATTCCCCAACAAATCCTGAAATTATTTTGTTTTTGTTTTTTACAGTTTCTACAAAAATGTTAAGCAGCACAACCTTTTTAAATATTGATAATAATAAGACATGTTTCTTGAGCAGCTAATCAGCTTATTAGAATGATTTCTAAAGGATCATGTGATACTGAAGACTGGAGTAATGATGCTGAAAATTCAGCTTTGTCTTCACATGGAATATATTACTTTTTAAAACATTTCACAACATTACCGTTTTAATGGTTTTTGATTAAATAAATGCAGCCTTGGTGAGTATAAAAGACTTCTTCAAAATCATTAACAAATCTTTTGAACAGTTATGTATATCTAATATTGACTGAGAAATCACTATACATTTTTACTCTATCAATTAGAAATGAAATTAAATAATAGTACATTTGAAAATAGGACATTTAAGGCATGTGGTTGCATTTTATTTTGACTGTTGTATGATACTAATGTTCACCCCTCTTTCAATTTTGAAGAAGATATGGAGACATTTTTATGGGCAGGCAGATGTGAGAGCAGTTACAAAGTTTCTTAATTCATGCACTGTATTATTCTTTGTGCTAAGCTACATCATTTTGGTTCATTTACTTTACTCTCTGTTCATGTGTGATGTTGTGATTGCATAATATCAGTTTGAACTGGGACAGCAGCTTTATGGCAGACCCAAATACAGCTCCCCCTTTTAGCACCTGGGACACACACACACACACACAGAGAGAAGATCTTGGATCAGTGTCCTCTACTACGGTCCCATCTGTAGCTTTTTCACTGAACACTGGTGAGCTGGCCTCATATCAGAGGAAAATGGCCTCTTTCCGCACTGCAGACACTTGCTCGTCATTCACTAAACAGATTGTAGTTTTGCTTTAGCCTCAGGACCCCATATGCTACTTTTTCCTCTCATTTTCTCCATCTATCTCTCGGTGTCACTGTCACATACAGTACGCAGACACTTACACCGCAAGCAGGAAATGGGGCCTGTGTGTTGATGCTATGAGAGATTTTTACTTGGAGGGAATATATTCCTGCTTTTTGCAACAGTGCAACATATTTCAATTAGTATTTAATTAGTAAAATAGTAGTCCACAGATATGACTGTTAGAGAGTGTCAAATTTCTTTTTTTTTTTTTACGTTTGTTTTTAACTTTTTTGCATGATTATTTATTTTACATAATGTTTACTGACTTTTCACTTAATTGTGATCATTGATAAATGTGAACGTTTTCCAGTAAAGATTAGATTTTGAAACTGGTTTATCTTTAGTACAAAACATACATAAACATACAGTGAGTACACCCGTCACATTTCAGCAAACATTTTTGTATATGTTCTCAAGGGACAATACTATAGAAATGAAACTTGGATATATTTTAGAGTCAATGTGCTTCCTGTATAGCAGTATAGTACTGTCCTCTGATTATAACTCAACACACAGCCATTAATGTCTAAATATCATGTCAACAAATGTGAGTACACCCTAAGTGAACATGTCAAAACTCTGTCCAAAGTAGACTGATCTCATGAAGTAGCGTGTGTATGCCACGCCAATTCGTATTTCCAGTTTTGGCGTGCTATCAAGACGCATAATCGCCTTTCAGCGTGTTTATGAACGCCGTTGACTTAACGTTATATAAATATATGACTTACCTCAACCCCATCCCTAAACTTAACCGTCACTGGGGTTAATGGCATTTATGACTGGAGATTTGACTGCGTGTACAGACACGCGGAATGACACGGACGTTAATGGCGTAGACATACACGCATACACGCGGATAGCTCAAAATGCGTAGAGATAACATGCCATCTGACTCGAAAGTGGCGTGTATGTTTACGCAAAAGTCATGATGTCATGTTGGTCTAAAGTGTCAATATTTTGTGTGAGCACCAGTGTTAACTAGCACTGCCTTAATCCATTAAGTTCACCGGAGCTGCACAGCTTATTACTGGGATCCTCTTCTACTCCATAACGACATCACCGAGCTGCTGGATGTTGGACACATGGCGCTTCTCCACTTTCCTCTTGAGGATCACCACAGGTGCTCAACAGGGTTCAGGTCTGGAAACACACTTGGCCACTCCATCACCTTCAGCTTCCTCAGCGAGGCAGTTGTCATCTTGGCGGTGTGTTTGGGGTCGTTATCATGCCGTTCGGGCCAGTTTCTGAAGGGAGGGCATCATGTTCTGCTTCATAATGTCACAGTACATGTAGGAATCCATGTCCTCAATGAAGCTCAGCTCCCCAGTACCAGCGGCCCTCAAGCAGCCCCAGACCGTGATGCTATCACCATCATGCTTGACTGTAGGCAAGACACGATGTTCTTGGTACTCCTCACCAGAGCTTCGACACACATGCTGGATACCATCTGAGCCAAACACGTTTATCTTAGTCTCATCAGACCACAGGACATGGTTCCAGAAATTCATGCTCTTGGACAGGTTGCTTTCAGCAAACTGTTTGCAGGCTTTCTTGTGAGCCAACTTAAGAAGAGACTTCCTTCTGGGACGTCGGCTATGCAAACTTGGCAATGCTGGCACGATCATGCGTCTGTTTTCTGAAGCAAGCTTCTGCACCTGACACACAGCACGAGGACTCGACTTATTTGATTGACCCTTGCGAGGCCTGTTACGAGAGGAATCCGGTCTTGGAAAACCTCTGTATGACCCAGGCCAGGCCACTGTATACTGTCACTCAGTGTCAGGGTGTTCCCAATCTTCTTTTAGCCTAGACCATCTTTGTGGAGAGGAACAATTCTTATTTTCAAATCCTTAGAGAGTTCTTTGCCATGAATCCAGTGGTCAGTATGAGAGAATTGCACTCAAAGCACAAATTTTAACTGCTCTAATGCAAGATACAAAAATGTGTATGGTCCTGTCAAGCAGACAAAAACATGAACATGATGAATAGGACATGTGGCTTTGGTGATGATTGCTCATGGACGTACAGCTTTTATCACTTAGGGTGTTCTCACTTTTGTTGCCATTTATTTTGATAATATTTTAATATTTATTTAATATAATATTTATTTTGAGTTATTTTCAGAGGACAGTAAATATATACTGCTATACAAGCAGCATATACTCTAAAATATAACCAAGTTTAAGTTTAGTATTAGTATTGTCCCTTGAGAAGATATACCAAATAGTTTGCTGAAATGTGAGTGGTAGAATAGAATACAATGATGATTTCCATCTTTCACAGAGCAAAGATGGATGATTTCCATAATTTCTTCTTTAAGTCTCTCTATAGTTGTGCAACCAAGTGGAAATACAGAAAAAATGATTACTTCCATATATGATTGTTTGTACAATAATTTGCACACATTTCCAGAATGTAAATCTGGAAGAAGCCAGTTTCAATATTCTTCTTTCGTTTGTCGACATAAGGTTTTTACAGGGGGCATTTTGGATATCTCCTACTCTGTAAATCAGAAAATACTGTCAAAAAATGCTTTTTTCACCATATTTCTAGGAATAAAATGTTATATAAAGTAGGTGAATGATATGAACAAAACCCTCAGTAAAGACCTTTAGAGCAAAACTGGAATGTTTGGTGTAAGTGATACTAAAGCTGAGGAAAAACTCATTTTGAGAAGGATAACACAAAAACTAAAATTCTGTCATCATTCACTCACTCTCAAGTTGTTGCAAACCTGTATGAGTTTCTTTCTTCTGCTGAACACACAGGAAGATTGGAATTGGAACCAAACAATTTTTTGGCACCATTGACTTCCATTGTAGAAAAAAATACTATGGAAGTCAATGGTTCCAAAGTTAAAGTCATTCTTCAAAATATCTTCCTTTGTGTTCAGCAGAAGAAAGAAACTCACACAGATTTCCAAAAACTTGAGGGTGAGTAAATGATGACCGAATTTTCAGCTTTGGGTGGAGTATCCCTTTAAATGTGTATTGTGGATGATTTCTTTCCACTTGTCTAAACGAAGACATGTTATGGAAGCGAAATAGCTCAAAATCTTAAAATTGACCACTGCAAGAATTTTTTTTTTTTTTAAAAAAAGGCTTTTCCTGTAATGTCTTGCCTATTTTACTAATAATGTCTGAAATGTCTATTTAACCAATGTTGTAGCAACTGGGCTCTTATTACAGAACCATCCCAACTAGAATCTAGTCTTATTTGTCTAGTAACCATGGTGATTTTAGCTCTCATAGGACAAAGATTTAACATTTTTAATGTTTCTGTAACATTGCCCCTGCTGGGTTCTCGTTGTAGGACTTTAGTATGTAAGGTGTTAGTCTGTTAGTATGTAGGGGTTTAGTGTGTAAGGCTGTCATATGTAGGGCTCTATGTAATGTTATAGAGTGTAATGCTGTATCATATAGTGTTGTAATGTAGTATGTAGGCCATAGAGAGAAATTTGGAGCACTATGTTTCATTCCTTGTTCTCTCACTTTTGTTCCTCGTTTGAGAACAGACCACAAATGAAAGTGGAGGTCTCTCGGCGGATGGTTGTCATAGCAATGTGAGAACATTTATAATGGGATATTTTTCCCACTCTAAAGCAACATCCTTTGGGCTGTGCCTGACGCACACACACACATACGCACATGCACTCCTCTTCCTATTCTCTCACCCACTCTTTAAATGACAGATTTAATCACTAACCTCTCACAAATTATGTCACTTCCTCTCTAAAACACATTTTATGTAGATCCCTGGTTCCCTGTTGCAGCAGTTTTAACGGCTCTGAACTGTGTTAAATAAAGTGTTAAGAGTACTGAAAAAATTATATTAAGTGTCACGTCACGTCCCCTTTTTTGAATAAACATGAAAATGCACAATCCGAACTTAAGAATGCTTTGGAATATAGATGTAAGATTGGTCTTGTTTTAAAGAAGTCATTTGGCAGATTTTTGTGGAAGTTAAATAAATTAAGAAAGTGAAACCAGTTTGAGTTTATGAAAATGTTAAAATGTAATTATTCATATTTTGAAAACCTGGTGGGCTCTAAAACTCCATTTACTCCATTACTGCCCATATAAATATATGGGCGCCTCCATTTCCATGTGTTTTGACTGATCTGAACCATTATTTCCACAATTTTCTTAGTTAGCATCCTATTCAGAAGTAGTAAGGGAAGTGTGACATATTTTGATATGAGTTCAACCTCAAAGAAACACATACAAAGAACACGCATAATGTGTTATTATAGCTGGCTGCCACATCACAAATGGTGAATTTTTTTCTTTATATTTAAAACATTTTCAGATATTTTTTTCTAAAATTGAATGGATGTTGTCTTTTGAACTATTGGCATAAAAACAAACTGAGGTTTCTACCATTCTTTCATGATTTTCATGTTCATCACTATTTCAAAATAAAGGTTTGAAAAAAACTTTCTAGTGTATTTTATGTTAAAACAAAAAGAATAAAATTCACTTGTTTGTATGATTATTTACTCACAATATACTAACCTGAAATAATAAGACTGTTGTTAGACTTGTCCTTTGTGCAGAACAAGCTTTAGTAAAGTTAGTTAAGTAAAGTTCACTTGCCCTTTATTTATATCGTTTCATCTCTCTTACCTTATGCCTTTATCTTTCCAGGGACAGCTCTCTCAAGCACTGAATGTTCTGTCTGACCGGGCCACAGAGGCTAAAGAGTTCCTGGTTCAGCTCAGAAATATGGTACAACACATACAGGTACAACAAACACACAAAATAACACTTATACTCTCATACGGTGCATTTGTGATGTGATCTGATTCTGTCCTCTCCTTATGTGCTCTAGGAGAATGGAGTTGAATTCGAGGCATGTTTGGTCGCCCAATGTGATGCTCTGATCGAAGCTCTCAACCGCAGGAAAGCTCAGCTTCTCAGCAGAGTGACCAAAGAACATGAACACAAACTCTCAGTAAGCACAACCACTCACGAAACACTCCTTGAGTTCTTGAAGAGATTAGAAAAAATAATCTCAGTTATTGGGTGGCGTTCTTCATTTGAGGAGCTCATTCATGCAATGCAAATCGACCGCAAAAGCAGAACGACAGCTCTCTGTTGTGTTTTTGAGGTAAAGGGAAGTTTGGAAAAAAGCCAAATCACACAAGTCACAGTTTGATTTCTTAATTGGAGGTTTAGTGACTGCCACCTTGATGATTTTTAGTGTGTGCTAATAGAACTGATGAAATTAGTTTAACACATTTTTTATTGCAAGCAAGGGGATTCATTTATTATTTATTTTTTCAGTTGCTTTGTAAGACCTACAGAAAAACACATTGATAACTTAAAGTGTTTAGTTTATTTAAACGTTTTTGAACTTTGAAATCAGCATTCACTGTAAAAAATAATTAGTTGTTTCAACTTAAAGCAAGTACATGCTTTAAAATTTTAACTTTAGTCAACTTGAAATGTGAAGTACTAAGTGACAACTTGGATATTTGAGTTGAGTTGAATAAACTTAAAAATTTAAGGCAGCACGAACATGTCACAATGCCTGTGCGCTGTGTCTTGTAAGGACTTTTAAGTTGAAGTGTTTCTATTCTTTCTGTGTTCTCCTCTCCTGTTTCCCTTGTTTGTGTTACCATAGCAACCCTGATTAGTTATTAACAGTCCCTCAGGTGTTTCTTGTTTCCCTGTGTGTGTGTGTGTGTGTGTGTGTGTGTGTGTATATAGCCCTGTGTTTTAGTCTGTTTTTGTGAGTTGCTTTTTGCATTCTTCGTTTCTGGTTTCTGGTCAGGGGGGATATTCCTGAAAGCAAGGTTATCTTAGTAAAATATCAAGTAAAATAGTGCTGCATTACACCACAATTTTAATTCGCCAGATGAAGTGACCTGTATGAGTTCAATTTAGCACTACGGCTGTTAAGTTAGAATTGAAAAAAAATAATGTGAATTTAAGTGATCAAACGTAACAAACTGTAACAAAGTTCAAATTCAGGGAAGAAGGAGACGAACATTAAACATAAATTTAATTGTAAAATATGCATAATCATCACTGAAAATCCTAATAAGTTAATTGAACTCAATTGATTTGAGTAAACTCGTTCCCTCAATTTAATTGAGTATGGGGTCTCCCAAAACATGCATATTTAAGTTTACTTAACTTGGTGCTTATGTTGACTTGACTTAAATTGTTTAATTCACCAAACTTGACAATTTTTTTAAATGTATTTAAACAATAAAGTTCACTTAGTGTTGATTTCAAGTGTACTTATGTACTTATACCAATATTTAGGTATACAGCAAAATCAGCAGTGTTAAATTACCAATGCTCAGTGTTTTATACAGTATGAGTCCACTCTCAAGAGTGTTATAAGTAACACTTAATGAGATAATTAAGTGAATAATTGAGAGATGATTGAGCATTATTGAAGACACCTGATGTTAACAAGTAGACTCACTGAAGGAGAAACCCATAATTTTTAAGTCACCGTTAATCTGATCAGTGTGTCTTTTAGTTGGGCTCTTGTCCCTTTGATCATTAACTTTATATTTAGTTTGACTGCTGTAACTCAGTTATAACAGTCAGATGGACAGTCAGAACAAATAGAAAAAGTCATCTGATGGTGGTGATTGTGTCTTAACATAATCGTTATATCACAATCTTTTGACCTGAATCCTAAACTCATTTAAAGCCCAATTTCTGATTTAGATTTATGTTATTAATTAGAGCAACACTGTTCTTGTACAGCATAACATTTTCAATGATTACATAATAATGCCAACATTTCTTTAAAGTTTGTTCTTATACATAATACTGTATATTATTATTATTAGACACACAGACATCAAGATTTAGCACATGAATCTCAGCAATGGTGATAAACAGATCACCTCTGAACATAAGCTCATTATTTATTCATGCAGAAATGCATTATGGGAGCCATGAATGAGTTTTGATTGGTGGCACCCAGAATGCACTGCAACATGCTTTATAAGTGTCACCATTGTTGAGATTCACGGGCTGATTCTTGATCTCTATGTGTCTAAAATAATATGATCTACATATTTGTAATGATAGCAACCTTTAAAGTCGGCGTGAAACGGAAGTTGAGATTGTCATTTTTCCTTGTCATGATGTATATCTGAGTGAAACGGCTTCTGAAATTAGAAAAAAAAATGTAGGGCGGGGCTTGATTTCGTCCTTCGGCCGATAGCCGCACCCTCATCTGATCTGGCCGCACATTTTCGCCACTCCACGTGACCGAAATAGAAGAGAGGTAATTTCGATGGGGGAGGGAAGGGTAATGTCTTTGATTAAAGATTATAAGGGTACATGAATTTTTAAAAAATAATGAAGTGCACAGATAAATCATTTATAATAAATACTACAGTATTACATAAAAAAGATAATTTGTCAAATTTGATTTCATGCCGACTTTAAAGAGAATATTTGGATTATAATTTAAATGTTACAAATATTATGCTTTTTAAACAGTGCTGCTATAATCCATAAGGTGAACACGATTCAGCTTTATATGACTTCAAAAATTAAATTCTAATAATTATGAAATAATGATTATATTAAAACACAATCACCACCATCAGATCAACTTTTCTATTTGTTCATCTGGTTACAACTGACTTACAGCAGTCAAATAAAATATAAACTTATTGAGTTGAGTGTCAAGAGCCCAATTAAACAAACACTGATCAGCATAACGGTGACTTAAAATTATTCTCCTTCAGTGATTCTGCTTGTTATCATCAGGTGTCTTCAATCATCACTCAATTAATCTCTTAATTATCTCATTAAATTTAACACTGCTTCAGTGTTACAGTCTACATAAGCACCAAGTTGAATAGACTTAATCCATTAGCTCACCCATTAACATGATTTCTGCATGGGTCCTGTCATAATTGCTTTCCATCGGCTGTGGAGGTGAAGACGACCACTCCCATGATTCCACTCTCGTTCAAAGCGTCATCATATGGCTAACATATCTCTTACATATTTTGCCTTTAAATATTCGGAAAGCACGTGCATTTAAAAGAATTATGTGCATACATTTTTAATTCATGGAAATCTCTACACATTTCTGTATTAGGGCAACAGATGACTGGCACTGAGGGTATTTTCTATTTTCCCATTAAAAATTCATTAAATCTCTTTTCTGCCAAAGTTGGATTCAGAATGGATTCATGCTTCAGGCAGCAGGGCTAATCAGCAACCATTGTTGGTGAGTCAAATCAGCCTGTTTCTAGCCCAAGCTTCTGTGCCATATTAAAAGGTTTGCTATCATAGGGGGAAAGCAGCTTAATGGTTAAAAATCTGGGCTATTAACGGAAAGATTTATGTTTAAAATGGAGTCATTGTGTCCTTGACTAAGACTCCCAAGCTGCTCCACTGAGACAGCACCTAGTTTGCTGTGATTCTCTTTAGTTGAAATGCAGCTATGGAATTGCAAGTAATTAAATAGCAAACCAGTATGTTTTTTTATAGTCCTGTACTCTAGGAACATCATACAGCTTATTATGCACTAACATGACCCTGATTTAGTTGTCTCTGTCAGTGGAGAGATGCTAAATATTAATATTTTTAAAGCACCATTTCTTTAAAGTTTTACGTAATCTTCTATTACTTTTTGTATTTTGTAGTAGTCTGTGAGTTATAAGGGGAAACTTAAAAAATGTTATATTAAAATGTTGCATAATCTTCAATTACTCTTTTCGCTGTTTAATTAAATATGTTAATACGCTGATTTCATGCAGCTGCCATTTTGAAATGACGCCAGTGGGAAGAAAACCAGAAGTGTCACCTTTAATCATAGAAGAGTCGCGAATGCAATATTGTTGTGTTTAATGTAGAAATGAGTTATTCTAAAAATGTACGTACTTTAGACTATATACAGTGAAATTCATTTATAAATAAAATTGTTTTTTATATGTAGTTCAGAAAGTAAAAAAAAGAAGAAGAAGGAATGAACTATATACATCCTATCCTATATTGGATATTAACATCCAATAGTGTAAATTGCGAAAGCACCTTCAGGTTGGTATAGTCCAAGGCATTGTTGTCTATCTGTACTTCCGGGGTTCTTCCCTCCGGAGCCTCGCTTTTGATTTCAAAATGGCTGCTGCGTGAAATCAGCGTATAATCCAAATTTCTTCAAGCTGGAGTGATGACACTAACTCAATTAATATTTAATAGTCTGTGAGTTATTACTGGAAATATACAAATTTTATATTAAAATTGTCCTGGTCTCCCCCTATACTGTTAATACACTTTCACACAGTAATCCCAAAAGTTACCGTAAAATTACCAGAATGATTTTACTGTAGCAAGGTGTTTTTTTTTTCTTTTCAAAGCAAGCTTCTTAAATCAGCACATTCGGACCTTGTACGTGTGGTAATCTTCATTCTTTGAGCAAATTCCAATCGGAAGTGAGCATCCTTATGCCCTACTCAATCCGGAGGGCAGAGCCCTTGAAGTGGGGACTTTGGAGGGAGCAGGGCACTTGTGTGTCATAATGAAGCTGTTTGGAATTCTCCATTTGTTCACACACAGCAGTATCATACCGGTAATTTACTGGTAATGTTACAACTTCGCATACTGGTAAATTGCCAACTGATTTACCTGTATTTTTGAAAAGGTGCTATTGAACTCTTAAAGGGATAGTTCACCCAAAAATTGCATTCCCTTGTGTTGTTTCAAACCTGTTTAACTTTCTTTCATCTTCAGAACACAAATGAAGATCTTTTTGATGAAATCTGAGAGCTTTCTGTCCCTCCATTGACAGCAACGCAACTGATACTTTGACGCGACTGAATTTAGGTTTTTATTCACATAAACATTAATAAACACACACATCAGATGTGGTAAACTGAAGCTCAAGCATGTTCACTTGATATGTGAGAACCAATGAGGTTCATTCCCGTGTTACGCAGCTCGTTTGAGCTTCTGCAAGAACCAATGACGTTTGTTCTCACGCTTCAAGCAGGTTCGGTTGAGCAGCTTCTGTTTATTTTTGCTAATAGATGTTAAAATGTGAATTAAAAGTTCAATCTAAATTAAATCTGTTCATCATATTAAGCAATCATGTCTCGTCAGATAATTTGGACTAAACCACTCAATTCACATGGATTAGTTTTACGATATGGAGGGACAGAAAGCTCTCAGCTTTCATTATAAAGATCAACGAAAGTCTCATGGGTTTGGAATGTCATAAGAGTAATTTTTGGGTGAATGATCCCTGTAACGGTAATTGGTAAATACTGTATGTGTACAGGGAAATGTAAAAAATGTAATATTAAAATTGTTAAAACTCCCCTATACCATTAGTCATGTGCTTTTGCTGGCATCTCATGTAGGCCTATTCTCTCGTCTTGTCTCCATGGTGCCTCAGGCCTGTTCCCATGGTGACAAAGATGTTGGGGTTCTAGTTTTGTCCAGTGGCTTTCTTCAGTTCTGCCTATTTCTTCCATATTCTGTTTGGATGTGAATGGCTCTTTTGCTTCTCATAAATTAAGTGTCTAATGTTTGATTCATTTTGGTATAAGATTGGCTTTGGAGGGACGTGTGTTTGTGTGTGTGTGTGCATCAGTGTGAACGTGTGCGTCATGTAAAATGAATGTAGCCAGTAGGTTTAAGTAGAAGGAGGAGGGACACACTCAGACACACATTCACCCAGTGGAATATGCAAGCATGAAGTGCAATTTTTTTGTGTGAAAAAGGTCAGTGATGTGTTGCTTGCTCAGAGAGGATGCTGACAATTGGTCCTGCTGTTGCCTAGCAACCCAGCCACTGAACAGTTATCATGGATTCATTCTCTTTCTCTTTCTTTCTGCCTCTTTATCGCAGGTGGTTCGTGATCAGATATCTCACTGCACGGTGAAGTTGAGGCAGACCACAGGACTGATGGAATACTGTCTGGAGGTTATCAAAGAGAACGACCCCAGTGGCTTCCTGCAGGTCTCTGACCCTTTTAATATAGCACAAACCTCGCAAAGGCCGCAAAGTTAGGGTGCTTACACGCCAGAGGAAGATCTAAGCAAACTTGGATGGGAATGTCTAAGATCCATTGGGCCTGTTTACACCTGGCAACAATCATTTTCTCTGATTGTAGAAAGATCCAAATCAGTTTGACATAAAGAAAAATTGGATTTCCAAAACTGTGCCGCCTCTCTGAAAACCTCATTGGTCAATAAGAAAATGAAATTTAGATTTAGAAAATTAAATGTAACATTTATTTCTATTTAATTTTAACTTTAACTTACTTTTTCTTGTAAGAGTTCAAAAGTCAGAATTGTCAGATATAAACTTGCAAAAGTCGCAATCACCTTTTTTATTTTTTATATTCTGTGGCTCAAACAAGCTTTCTTAGATATCAGATATTTGTGTATGCTCATTTCTTAGTTTTTTTATTTAGATTACCTTTGCTATCATTAAACACTCATTGAAGTTAATCTTTAAAAACACTAATAACTTGTTAAAACTGTTAATTTTTTGCAATTCTTAAAATGAATATCCATTTTTCATGCTGTACATAATCTCAATTCACATGCAGCATTTTGATTTGAGCTTTTAGTGTTTAATCTTTTAGTTTGAACAAAATAGTATTTTAACTAATTAAAAAAAATAGTGTTTTTATAAATAATTTTAAAAATTAAAATAATCTATTTTAATATCACATTAATATCATCGGTTATTGACCATGAACGTAATTATCTTATTGGTGTTTGCCAGAACTTTAAAGGGATACTCCACTTTTTTTTTTTTTTTTTTGGAATTAGGCTCATTTTATCACTCCCCCAGAGTTAAACAGTTGAGTTTCACCATTTTCAATTGCATTCAGCCGATTTTCTAATATTTAGAAGAATATCAGTAACCAGACAATTGCTGGCCTCATTGACTACCATAGTAGGAAAAAAATATATACTATGGAGGTCAATGAGACCAGAAACTGTCTGGTTACTGATATTCTTCTAAATATTAGAAAATCGGCTGAATGTGTTTGAAAACGGTGAAACTTAACTGTTTAACTCTGGGGGAGTTGTAAAATGAGCCTATTTCCAAAAAAAAAGTGGAGTATCCCTTTAACATCAGTGTGTCAATACTAGATATTGCTCTTTGTGAGTGTAAAGGGCAAGGAAACTTTGGTTTTGTCACTCCTGTTCAATGACACTTTGCCTTCCAAAACTTTTCTCATCACAAAATGTTTCCTGCTCTGAGGAATCTTATTAAATTAACAGAAGGTCATACATTTACATAATTGCAACACTTCATTAATTTGACTTAATGCCGTGTAATATATTCTGAATCTCTGTGTGTGTGTAGATCTCTGATGCTCTGATAAGACGGGTCCATATGACGGAGAACCAGTGGGGGAGGGGCTCTCTGACCCCTCGCATGAGCAGTGACTTTGACCTGACGCTGGACAGCGGACCCCTGCTGCAGACCATACACCAGTTAGACTTCGTCCAGATGAAGGGTGAGCCTGTGTGTGTGTGTGTGTGTGTGTGAGTGAGTGATGGGTGTGTTTCATTTTTGCATGGCTTTCTTTAATGACACAGTAAGTCAGAACACTGGACCCAAAATAACCCTGTCTGTCTTTGTTTGTGGCTTTGTGTGTGTGTGTAGTTCCAGCTGCTCCTATTCTTCAGTTAGAGGAGTGCTGTACTCAAACCAACAGTGCGACTCTGTCCTGGAAGCAGCCGCCTCTCTCCACCATCGCTGTGGATGGCTACATTTTAGAACTGGATGATGGGACTGGAGGCCAGTTCAGAGTGAGTGTCACATGCACGCAGTGAACTTTTCTGTGCAAATTGCATTCTTATGGTGATGATACACAGGGCAACTTTTTGAGCAATGTTGCTGGGCAATCTTGCAGAGCGATTGTTGCCTGGGCACTTTCCCATTGAAAATGGGCAAATCTGGGTAATTTAGATGGGTCGTGGGCCCTGTGCCTCATCTGGTTCCATATTGACAGCAACATTGCTCAAAAAGTTGCCCTGTGTATCATCACCTTCAGAATGATATATTCATTTCAACAAAATAGTGTTCTGTGGAGTGTTCACTCTATGTTGCCCCTAATATTAAAGGGAAAAGTCCTATCCTTACTTTGATCATGAAAAATTCATGTAAGGTTGGATAGATGAAACAAGTTTCAGCTTAAGTCATTTGAAAACATAGAATTATTTGGAATATTTAAATTCTATATAAATGAAAAATATTATTTAGCTTATGTAGGAATATTTATATTTATTGTAAATGATTTATCCATGTAGAGATCATTATTTATTTAATGTACCCTCATATTATGTAATAAATCCCCCACACTTGCAGAGAAATCTGCTCTCTGCTCTGATGATGTGTTTTGGGGCAGCTTGTCAATCACTTCAGATCATAGCATTAGCAAACCACAACCATCCAATCAATTCCCAGACAGACAATATCAAGCCCCACCCTACAATTTTTCTTGTTTGAAAAGCCGTTTCACTTGGATATGTCGCAATTGGCATGAAAAGTCTGGAACTCAGTTGGGCTGGTCAAATTTACACATCATAAAACCGTACAGAGATTTCAAGTTCATAGCAGCACCGAGCAAAAAATGCAATAATGATGACTATTCCAAACAAATGGATTCCCACAGAAGCCATATGTTATTGCATTTATTTATTTATTTATTGGTGTAGTATTATTTTACTATCTCGAAGTGGACACTGAACACTGCATAATTGTTAGATGTGATGTTTCGGCTTGGCAAGCTGAATGATCTGTCCAATAGATGTTTTACTCAGCAAGAAGAAACATTAGATGAAACATTGACAGTGGATGAGGGTGTACTTGTGTGTTCATACACATGAACAGTGTGTACTGTATTAATAAAGTGATATTGTTGAACATGGTTTGTCATTTGGATGTGGGCAGTCAGAATCAGTGATGTTCATTTGAGTGACAAGGGACATGCATATTCCTTTAGATCATCTAGTTAAGTCCACAAAAATGGTGTCTCATCTCGGAGTCTAAAGATGATTCATGCCTCTCACTGCAGAAGTCTATTTATATATTAGAGGACCACTTCACGAACACACTTACATGATCACGAACGCACATATGCATGCACCACTGTCACTCGTTGGCTTTTTACACTTGGTATTGACATTCATCTGAGGTGATCACAAGTGGCAATTTTGTGGTTTCATGCAGTACCGTTCAAATGTTTGGGATCGGTGAGATCTTTTAATGTTATTAATTTTAATTAATATTGTGAATTATTTGTACAATTTCAAATAACAATTTTCTATATGTTTTAAAAATGTAATTTATTCCTGTGATGACAAAGCAGAATTTTCCGCATCATTACTCCGGTCTTCAGTGTCACATTATCCCACATAATACTGATTTGCTGCTTAAAGGTAGGGTATGGAATTTGCAGAACGGCAGACAGATTTTGAAAATACACAACTCAAAACGTCCTACCTTCTTTCCTCCAACGCTGGCCCTGACTCCACCCAAGAGCATGAGCGTGCAATCATGATAAACTCAGATGTGCGAGATTGCATTTACTCACTTTCTCTCTCGCTCTATACCGGGGCGACTTGAACGTACTGTGACTGGGTCACTAGCTTTGAGTTTTGGATGGGGGGAGGGGGTATGGTATGACCGTTTGATTGACACATTTTCTGTCCAGTGATTCTAGGTGGTCTTGGAAATGATTGGCTGGAGTTTTTAGAGTCCTGCCCGTTCCACATATGATTCAATTGTTTAATTTTCATTTCAGTGCTCCTAACTCAGTGTCTGTAAGGGGTTAGGAATAGGATTTCAAGTGATTTTGAAAAAAAAAAGGTAAAAAAAAAAAAGAAAATCACATATCCCGCCTGAAACATGTCTTATTATTATCAAACAAGATTATTATATTATCATTGAAAACAGTTGTGCTGCTTATTTTGTTTCTGGAAATTTTTCTGAAATTTCAAAAGAACAGCATTTATTTAAAATATATATTTTTTTTAACCATGGAAATGTCTTTATTCTTACTTTTGATCAATTTAATGCATTCTTGCTGAATAAAAGTATTAATTTCTTTTTTTAAATGTGTACCCCAAACTTTGAACGGTAGTGTCATCAAAATATTTAAAGAGAATAAATCTCCTGAGTCACATTCACACTTACACTTACACATAATAATTCAAATACCCTCAGACATATAGACACACACACACACACACACACACACACACACACACACACTCAATCTCTACTCTCCTCTAAACAGGCCAAGCTCTTATTTTAGAAAGCCAGGTTCATGTGTTCTTATATTTGCTCCATTTTTGGGCAGATTTTTAGCAACAGTATCACATTGTGTTTTCCCAAGATATTCATCAGCTTTAATTAGCAAATTATCTTAATGTTTTATTCTACAGGAAGTGATTCCATGCATATAAAATGTGCATACTATGCAAAATATGTCATTTTTCTGTATGCATCTGGGCTGAACTGAATTTGAAGTTGCATACTACCCTTCTAGTCCTGAAATATTAAGAGTAGTATGATAGTATAGAATTCGGACATTTCCTATTATATATGACTTGATTCTTTGATTTACTGTAATGTAGTTTGCACTTTGTGTTGGGTACTATTTCCCACAATGCAATGCACTCACTGATCTATATAGAATGACATTGTCATTATATAGATCAGTGAATGCACTCAATCTGCCCTTCCATATAAAATGTTACCAATAAACCAAATGTAATACCTAAGGGTTTTTTAACATATTTTCTTGATTCAGAATTTAATTAGACTGCCCAATTTAAACACTGAGTCATGTGAAACAAACATGTATACTGTTTAAAAAATAGTAGGCCACATAGAGTATTTAATGTTCAGTATACCGTAAGCAGGACCCTATTTGCTATTTCAAACATAGTTTGCCACGTGTGTTTACTAACTGAATTGTGTATTCTACAGGAAGTGTATGTTGGTACAGAGATGATCTGCACTGTGGACGGTCTGCACTTCAACAGCACCTATAAATCCCGTGTCAAAGCGTTTAACTCCAGTGGAGTCGGCCAGTACAGCAAAACGCTTGTCATGCAGACATCAGAGAGTAAGAGATGTTATCTCACTGCTACACTCACACACCTTACTATTGAATGCTGCCACTCTTAATGCACAGGGAAGCTGGAGCATGTCAGTGCAAAATAAAACATCAGATTTTTAGTAATGTCAATATAGTGGGCAGTTTCCATAAATAGGATTACTATATATATATATATATATATATATATATATATATATATACACACACATATACTATAGGATATATATATATATATATATATATATATATATATATATATATACTTGGTGTCTTGTGCCTTTTTAAGGGCTTGTAGGCCTACATTTTTTTTTTTTTGTAAAACCATCAGATACATTTGATAAACTGGTTTCTAACACAAAATTAACCTGGCATGCAAAGTAGTTTTAAATGCCTGTATATTATATATATATATATATATATTTATAAATATTGTTTTTATATGTAGCTATATTTAATATAAATATTTCTATGAATAGATTTTACTATATTAATATATTTTAATAGTTGTAATATTTATTTTATATGTTTATTATAAATGTTTATTGTTACAATATATGAAGAGTTCAGATGCAAAAGCCTCTAAATGCCATTTGAAATTTTCTTCTTTAATGATGATTTTTATCAAACTTATACTATATTTAAGTTCAGTAATTTCACTTAAATAACAATTAATAGGTAATTATCATTGCAATTTAAGTGAAATTACTGAACTTAAATATACAAGTTTGGTAAAAATCATCATTAAAGAAGAAAATTTCAAATGGCATTTAGAGGCTTTTGCATCTGAACTCTTCATATATATATATATATATATATATATATATATATACTGTATATACTATATATTGTGCCTTGCACACCCAAATCAAGCATTGGATTAAGATACAATATACTGTAGATTACAAAATAGAAATCCTGCACAGTACTCATATATATAGATTTGTAGGCCTGCTCATTAAAATATTTTTGTGATGATGCAAACTTTAGTGTGTGCAGGATTTATATTTTGTAGTTTCTAATGTTTCTTGCTAGAAAATAATGAAACCACACAAGTCATGGTTTTAAAACTGCATGCCCTTAAACATTGGTTACATTGTTGCAAAATCTTCATTTAAAATTAAGCTCATATAATGCTCTTATAATATTTAGTTTAACCTTGTTAGGTTTTACCCTATTCTTGGAAAGTGCCAATGACATCACCCTGAAAGTCTACTGGTCTTGATGAGCACCACTATATGTCTGATACTAATATAAATTAACATCATTGTTAATTTGCTGTTAACATTATTGACTTGTTCTTTACATGTGAGCGCAGAATAAGTCCAGCTTCTCTGATCTGCTGCTTTCCTTCCTCTCTTTCAGTACCCAATTCTGTTACTTTCTTTTTCTCTCTCCTTCCACCATTCTGATTTTTCTTTTCTCTGCATTTCTCTGCCTCCTCCACTTTTCTTGTTGTCTCCAACCTTTTCTCGCTCTTTTCCTCTCTCTTGATTTCAGTGAGTCTGCCTTCATATGGTAGTAAAACTCTGGCAGCAGGTATGAATGCCTGAATATCTGAACATCATGATTATGTTAACCTCATACACCCTTTCGTGTGTGTGTGTGTGTGTGCGTGCGCATGTGTGTGTGAATGATAGAGTGTGTTTGCGGGATTTATTTGCAGTGTCTCTGTGTACTTAAATTCATCTGGACTTTCATTCGTACTGTAAATCGGAGCTTAACCAACCAGCCTTCATGACTGTATGTGTGTGTGCTTTTTCTGCAGTTGCCTGGTTCACCTTTGACTCTGCATCGGCCCACCCTGACATTATATTGTCCAACGACAACCTCACGGTGACGTGTAACAGTTACGATGATCGTGTTGTCATGGGCAATACAGGGTTCTCTCGTGGTGTGCACTACTGGGAGATGACCATCGATCGCTATGACAACCACCCTGACCCTGCATTTGGGATCGCCCGGGCTGATGTCATGAAGGACGTTATGCTGGGGAAGGATGATAAAGCCTGGGCCATGTATGTGGACAACAATCGCTCCTGGTTCATGCATAACAACTCGCACACCAACCGGTATGAATTTGTTTATGTGTTCATGGTAGTCACTGAAAAAGTAAAATGATTGTGTCGTTTCAGTAATTAATTATTTATTTATATTAATTGTTAGTATTTTTGAATTTCTTTATTGATATACACTGAAAAAAAAGTAAAACGATTGTGTAATTTATTTAAAGTGCATTTTTATATTGATCTAATTGAAAATCATGGTGTAAACCTGTTTCCCTTTCAATTGGGAATTCGCACTGCGTCTGAACAAGGCGCTATGGGGAATGCCTCCAGCGTGACCGGTGTCTGAACCATGTGTTAAATCGCGACAATATCATTGGCCGAAGACAGTCTGTGACATCACTACCAGTGCGACCGTGAGTATAAAAGGGCGCCTGTAGTACACGTCATTATAATCTTTGTCTTCAGGAGCCGTTTGTTTGTTACGTGTTAAGGCGAATTTTCTCTACTGCCAAACGTTTTAAGAAGTGTGTGCCTCCTTGTCAGAGGTATCTGACACCCGAGGACACACATGACTTGTGCGTTATGTGCTTAGTCGAGGAGTACGCACGTTCAGTCCTTGGTGGGGCTGAAAGGGCACACTGTGAGAGCTTCTCAATGAAGAAGCTCCGTTCACATGTGTCCTTTGTCTCGAAGGACAAGCGTCTGCGTCTCCGCGGCTCAGGACCCCCGAACATCGAGGCAAAGCGGGGAATGAGATGCTAGTCAGTCTGGCTAAGGAGTTTGAGAAAGGTATGAATCTTACTCTTCTGCTGCCGACACGAGAGAATTGCTGGATCAGGACATGCTATCACTTGCATCATCCAATCCAGATAGCACTCTGCTGTCTGCCAGCCAGGAAGAGTAGGTTGTGGCTGAGGAGGGTGAAGAAGCTGGTGAGGCCTCCCAGCCTGCCTGCTCCACATATGAGGAGCTTCTGGACACAAACCGTCATAACTGCCCCGTTCCTTTGAGCCTTCAATTTCTTCTGGATCTCAATGCTGAGATTGATAGATCATGGAAGAAACCATATTCGGCCCGCATTCATCTTTGTCATCATGATAGTTATGTGAATGTAAGGGGAATGCGCGAGCACAAATATGTCTTTATGCCTTCCATTGAAGAGACCCTAGCCAGCTATCTCTCAGTGGCTTAGGCATCATCATTAAAGGCTCCAAACCTTGCCACCCTAGCCGCTGCATACCACATCTTGTTTGCATGGCAGGTCATGAATGGCAGGGCATATGCAGCAACGAGCTGGTCCGGGGCTGCACAGCACACAATAACTGTTCCATAAGCAAAGCAGGCTGATCTGGGGAATGATCTACCCCTAACCCTAAGCATGTCTGACAAGTGAGGACAACTTCTGACAAGTCACAAGTTGAGGATGCTCGCCAGTTAAAATTGGCATCCCTCCTAGACTCTGTCAACTACAGTACATTGCTATAGTACCTGTCAACAGCAAACTTGATGATTGCTCAAGATAGAAGCTTCCTCCCCCAGATATTGGGGTCTACTAAGTTGGAATCTCCCTTACAGTGCAGATCTAGAGAATCCTTACAAAAAATGGCTTTAGTAAATCTTTGCAAACCCACCAGAACCCTCTCCTTGTTCAGGTGTATAGTTCCTCTTTTCACCAAGAAGAGCTCTTCCTTTCTCAAGAACCCGAAGGGATGTGCCATTCGGCCCAGATTTGCAAACCCTTCTTGTTGTAAATATCCTTGTGCAAATTAGTCTGAAGACAGCAGTTTGAGGGGTTTGCCTTCAATAGTTAAGTCTTCATGGAGAACGTTGATTAGGACCCCCACTTGAGGGTCTTTAAGTTGAGTCCTCTGCTCCCTCAGAAGTGCTCCATGGGATTCTTGCAAACCTTCTTTATATCCACTAGACAAGCCTCAGACTGATCTCTTGGTAACTGACGAAACGTGCAAACCCTTTTTGTTGTAATGCGACTTTGGAAAATGTCTTCAGTCACTGTATGATCGGAGATCTTGGTATGAGAACAGCTGGTTGTAGTTAAAAGTAAAACGGCTAACTCCCTTTTTCCTGCAGGCCTTCAGATTCTTTTGAAGAGTGACCCTCCTTAACTGTTAAGGGTCTTCGAGTCTTCAGGGTCCTCTTCTCTCCGAGATGATCACTGTCTGATTCCTGGAATCATACCTCTATAAGACACCAAGCTTGAGTGGTAGTAGCTAGCGCTTTTGCAGATCCCCTTGATAAGTGAGTCTTTAGGGTTGACTGGGGTATCCTAGAGGTAGAGCAGGGATTCTCTTGCTCCCCCTAGAGGTAGTGACAGACTAGGGAGTTAGGGATTCCTAGGCCAGGTTCCCTTTAAGGTGATGTCTTGCATTCAGAGCTAACATACCAAACCTGAGTCCTCCCCTCAGAACGGGCTCTATCGCTCTATCGCTTAACCCTGAGAGGTAGGTAGGAAGTTTAAAAAGGCCAGGGCTTTCCTTGTATAGGGCATAAGACTAGGGTAGTGGCCGTTGGCAATTTCGTTACTGACAGTTCCACCGCTGGTTCACTTGAGTTGGGCATATAAGTCTGATGTGTCTTTTTTTGTGTACTTGGACATTTCCTTTTAGCATGGCGTAATAGGTATTTGTTCCCAATAGGATCTTGTTCAGACACAGTATGAGTTCCTATTCGAAAGGGAACGTCTTGGTCACAAATGTAATCCTGGTTTACTGAGGATGGGAACAATACACTGCACTTTCAAGTCAAGTGGCGTGTTATCTATACGCATTTTGAGCTATCTGCGTGTATGTCTACGCCATTAATGTCTGAGTGATTCCGCGTGTATGTACATGCCATCAAATGTCAGAGCGAAACGAAGCAAAATGTAGATCTACATCTGGGGAGCGATATTTTTTTTCCTAGGATGGCATGGGAAGACTCATAAATGCCATTAACCCCAGTGACGGGTAGGTTTAGGGACGGGGTTGGGGTAGGTCATATATTTATATATACAGTAATAACGTTAAGTCAACGGCATTCATAAACACGCTGAAAAGCGATTATGCGTGTTGATAGCACGCCAAAAATGGAAATACGAATTGGCGTGTCATACACACGCAATTTCATGAGATCAGTCTGCTGCTTCAGATAAAGAAGAGAATGACGTGTCACGTGCACGACAGGCGCCCTTTTATACTCACGGTCGAACTGGTAGTGATGTCACAGACTGTCGCCGGCCAATGATATTGTTGCGCTTTAGAACGTGCTTCAGACAGCAGTGTCACGCTGGAGGCATTCGCCATAATGTCTTGTTCAGATGCAGTGTCTCATTCCCCTTCTCAGGGAACCAGGGTTACATTTGTAACCAAGACATTTTTTTTTAATGTTTGTCTTTATTTATACTAAATAAATTAAATTAAACATTGACTAACAAATTGTTTATAGTTTTATCCTAAGTGAAATCTTAGATTAAAAAAATATTTTTATTAAAAAAAAAATTTTTTTTGGAAAATATTTTTTATATTTTTGATTATTATTAAATATAATTTAAGGTTTGAACCAAACCAAAAATATACACTGAACAAAATTATAAATGCAACACTTGTTTTTGCACCCATTTTTCATGAGCTGAACTAGAGACAATTTATATAGAGACTTCCTAAACCCTCAATACAACTACATTGGGAAAACCCGTAAAGCCAAAGATGGCTGTTGTATGCACTATGAACATGTCCCACCCCTCCCGCTGGAAAGCCAATCGACTGCTTTTAACAGTCAAACCGGGAAACATTTAAGCCTGTCGCCTGGTTCCACTGATGCACGCGCACATTTGATGTTTGCGACAGCAGAGACGAGAACCCTTGCACATGCGTAGTAAAAGTATAGCATGTGGGGAAAAAGTGGGTTTTAAACCTTATTTTTGGGGCAAAGTAATCAAACTTTTTCAGCGATTTTTATCATAATTTACTTCTGTTTCTATACATGCAGTTTTTATGTCCTGGTGACCAGTGAAAGTGCAGTTCTGACTCTCTGCCCATTCATTTAGATAGGAGCCTGGTCTTGTTAGTCTGAAATAGCTGCCCGGAGGCGTTGCCAAGATGGTGGCCGAGTGGCATGACTTGCCTACAAGGACTTTGGCTGAACTCAAAGATCTAAGACTTATTCTATGTACACAAAAGGCCTATTTCTCTCAGATAATGTTCACACAAATCTGTGTAAATCTGTGTTAGTGAGCACTTCTCCTTTGCCAAGATAATCCATCCACCTCACAGGTGTGACTAATCTGCATCTTGATATGCCACTCCTGTGAAGTAGAGGGATTATCTCATGCTCACTAATACAGATTTAGACAGATTTGTGAACAATATTTGAGAGAAATAGGCCTTTGTGTACATGGAAAAAGTCTTAGATCTCGGAGTTCAGCTCATGAAAAAGTGTTGCGTTTATAATTTTGTTCAGTGTAATTTATGAAATTATTAAAAGAAATTATTGCCTGATTATAGCCTGATAAAGCATCTCAGCAAATGTTCACTGTTGCCCTTGGTTACAAAGTACATGCTTCATTTAATTAATGAATGAAGCTAATAAAAACGTCTGAAATTGCTCACAGTAGGCTACAGTACATAAAAAGTGAAAAAATCTGATGCATTACTGCCATCTGCTGTTAACTCATATTATTCACATGCAGTAGAGAGAGGTCAAGGGTAACAGCAGGCTAAAATCACTAATAGATTTACGTTAAATGTTGCAAATAAAATGTTCTTCTATATGTTTAATGTGTTTATTGAGTCAAACTGGGTCTATAATAGGTCTTTCACCCTATTGGTCAGGGCATTATGTTTAATTTACTCTGTCTTTCTCTTCTCCCTCTTTCAGTACGGATGGAGGAATAAGTAAAGGGGCGACTGTGGGTGTGCTGCTGGATTTCTCTCGTGGGATTCTATTGTTTTTGATAAATGATGAGCAACAGGGACCCGTTGCCTTCAACACACTAGAGGGCATGTACTACCCAGCTATCAGCCTCAACCGCAATGTTCAGGTAACATTCATTTCATTCATTCACTGCTTTTGCATACTTAAAAAAAAAAACAAGTGCAAATTGTTAAAAGTTATAGTTTTGGATACTTAATTGCATGTTATTTGCAATTAAATGAACATGTATTTACTTTTATTAAATGTAATTAGCACTTAAAATGTTAGTTCACCCAAAAATTCTATTTTGTCAGTTAATTATTCACCCTCATGTCCTTCCAAACCTGTAAGACTTTTGTTCATCTTCAAACACCTTGCCACCTCGTACATTTATACGATTTTTAAACAAACAAACAAACAAACAAACCACTTTTATGATTTATTTTCACACAAAATATGTTGCTCCATCAATGTTCAATAAAAACATTAATACCCTGGTCTGTTTTAATACTCGGTTCTGTTTGGCTTGAAGGTGCGCAATAAAACAGTTTAATTCACAGGTAGTTCCAAGTCAGTTCTATATTATGAACCATAAGGCTTTGTTATGAGCAATAACTTGGTAATATAATATCTTGATTATTTTTGTGTGTATTTCTTTTAATAGGTGACTCTTCACTCTGGGCTGCCTATTCCTGATTTTTATACACCCGGAGAGTCTGAAGCTGCAGGCTCAGTCTGCTGAAGAGTCCTCGACTGATACACATTCATACACAGATGCACAGACAAGTGCACATGGATTCAGCTGTGAGTACTTGGCAGGGGATTTTCTGTTGACAGTCATTAATATGTTTTAACAAGGTCTGAGAGATCAGAAATGTAAATGGACTTGTTAGGGTCAACTCAACCCAAACTTAACCCTAACCTTAACTCTGACCCTGATGTATGTGAGGTAAATTATTGGAATTCTTGAATCATTTTTCTCTCTTTCTTACTCTTTTTCTAGATATGATTGTTATTATTATTATTATTATTATTATTATTATTATTATCATTATTGATGTTGTCATTGTTGTTTTTATGGAAAAGGTGCTCATTTATGTGAACTCCAAGCTTACTGGATCTCAACAGAGTGTTGTTTCATGATAAAATCCTCTGTTTCAAGTTAAGCTTAGAAATAAGTTACTGATGTGTTAGACCTTAGAGGATGAATTTTACATTATATAGAAACTTTCTGTTGCATATAAAGGGAATTTTAACTGCAGATGGGGACATAAACGAGAGTACAATATCTTATATTACAGCCTCATTGCGCATATTATGCCTCAGTTAATCTCATATATATATTAAACCCTATTCTGAAATTCAGAATATAAACCCTAACCAAACCGATCCCTAAACCTAAACTCAGAATGAGATATTTAACCTTCTCTTCATATTCACTGTCGATGAGCATACATTTGGGGTGTATTAGAGAAGGCCAGAATGAGCTGAATGTGTGTCAGTGAGGAGGTAATGGCTTTCTGTTTGTTGAACAGAATAGAAAACACTAATTGGGACACAAACACACAGGCATTTCCACATCCTTGCATAATGTATTATGGAGAGATGAGAATGAATACACTTTTGTTTCTCTCTCTCTCTCTCTCCGTTTGATTTATCCTTTGCTGCCTCAAATGTGCACAAGCTAAACGTGAATGCTAAACAAATAACCGGTGCTGCTTTTGTTCAATGTGATAAAAGATTGCAATATAAAACAATAGAGAAATTTAAACAAGACAGCATATAGTTTAGCTGCTTGAAGCATTGGCTATAAGTTTACCATAAAGGATGTACAGTTGCATTTTTAAAACAAATATTTAAAATCCCACTGGTGGGGTTAAAAATGGGGCAGGTGCTGTAGCCTACTTTATCTGTTTGTTGAGCTCAACAAACAACTGAATGTTTGGGTGCGTGACAGGAAAATTTCACCCATTGTAAATTGTATTTTTTAATAAATTAATCCCAATATAAGAAATGTATTATTATTATTATTATATTATTATTATTGTGTCTGAATTGTTATCTGTGTGCTCAATAAACTGGATTAGTGCAATAAAAAACTGTCTGTCATTTCCCTGCAAAAATAGTTTGTGCAAAATGTGTGCAAATTTGCTGTGCAAAAAAATTATTGGTAATGTATTTAATCAGAGTAATGTGGTTAAATACCTATATATATTTCGATATTTTTCATGAATTTCATATGGCAATTTTTGACCTTGAACCGTTTGGTTCCCATTGAAGTCCATTATATGGAGAAAATCCTGGAATGTTTTCATCAAAAACCTTAATTTCTTTTCGACTGAAGAAGGAAAGACATCTTAGATGACATGCGGGTGAGTAAATTATTATCAAAAGGTTTTTTTTTTTTTTTTTAAGTGAACTACTCCTTTAAGTCTAACAAAAATCAACTGAACACATATATCATAGAAAAAATGATTGTTCAAGTGTGTGAGCTGCATTTTTTTTATAACTAAGAAATCCAGACAAAACCACAACAGACTCTACAAGATGAAATTGGACTGAGTAATCCATAGGCTACGTATTTTAATTGAATAACTGATTAAGGATTGTTCAATTATTCAATTAAAATACGTAAGCCTTATGATTATATTCAATTTGATGGATTTTTTTTACTGCGTAAATTAAAAAATTTTTTTTTTCTTTTTTTTTATTATGGACCGTATGGACGTCACGTCATTGATTCAAATACTGTAATATATTTACCATGGCTAAAAAACAAACAAACAAACAAACAAAAACAGTTCAATGAGAGAGGGAGGGAGAGACTTTCTGTCCCTCCCTCTATTCCCCCTATAAAAATATGTGCCTTGTGACCCCCGTGCGCTGTGCTCGGTGTAACCAGTGATCTTCAGGATGGCGACGCCTCTAACGGACCAGGAGAAACGCAAGCAGATCAGCATCAGAGGGATCGTCGGTGTGGAGAATGTGGCGGAGCTCAAGAAGGGCTTCAACCGGCACCTGCACTTCACGCTGGTCAAAGACAGGAACGTCGCGACGCCGCGGGATTATTATTTCGCGCTCGCGCATACGGTGCGTGATCACCTGGTGGGTCGCTGGATCCGAACACAGCAGTTCTACTATGAGGCCGACCCGAAGGTGAGTCGGGAAAAAAAGTCCCATAAAAAGTCATTTAGTAGCCTACCTTATTGGCTTTGACTATTATTAATGACTAATTTGACTAACTATTTGTCATTTGGCCACAGTTAAAAGTTATTTAAATAGGCTGTAATTTCAAAAACATTTACTTGTAATAAGTTCACTGTGCAATTTATACTTTTATTGGAATACAAACAAAAGGGTAATGTTTTTTGGTAATTTGTAATAAAGGCTAAGATTAGCAGGTTGTTAGTGTCAGTCATCTAGGTTAATCTAGGTGCATAAATCTTTAAAATGTAGGCCTATTACAGACAAGTTTTATGGATGAAATTTAAGTATTAGTTCCAGTTGTTTGTGATTAATAACAGGGTTCCAACTGTAATTGCCAAACCTGCATAAATTAGGGAAATATACTATCCTGGAAAAGTTATGGAAATTTATAACATTTTATAATAATTTTAAAATGAAAAATAATAAATATCTCTATTTTTATTTTCCTCTAGTTATGCAGAGCTTTTAATCAAAATAAATTACAATTAGAAATGTATAGAAGAGTAATAGAAATGAATGTCAAAATGCATTATACAAGAATGCTGTTTCTCTAGAAAGACTGTTTATTGTGTGTGTGTGTGTTTCTATGTGCTTCAGCGTGTATATTACCTGTCGTTGGAGTTCTACATGGGTAGAGCGCTCCAGAATACCATGATTAATCTGGGTCTGCAGAACTCCTGTGATGAGGCCATCTACCAGGTGAGAGAGAACAAGACACTCATCCATCCATCTGTGTGTCTAGCTGTCCGTAAACCTCTCTCTTTCCTTCCAGCTGGGGTTGGATATGGAGGATCTGGAAGAAATGGAAGAAGATGCAGGATTAGGCAATGGAGGGCTGGGAAGATTAGCAGGTCTCACTCACTCACTCACTCACTCACTCACTCACTCACTCACTCAATTCAATTCAATTCAATATAGCTTTATTAGCATGACTGTGTTACACAATGTTGCCAAAGCATCAACATATTATATATAAATGTAATTTATACACTCACTCACTCACTCACATACACACTAAACAAATAATAGCATGATCTAGATTAATAGTGATATTTCCTGTGTTGTTGCCAATCCACAGCTTGTTTTCTCGACTCCATGGCGACCCTGGGTCTGGCTGCTTATGGATATGGGATCCGATATGAGTATGGAATCTTCAACCAGAAAATCAAAGATGGCTGGCAGGTAAATTTGATGGCTGGCAAAATAATATATTTTCTCATATATTTTTTACATAATTTCTCAAATATGTTTACAAATATTTCAGAATCCATTAAAAAGCCAAAATATTTTTAAATGATTATTTATAATTTCTCAAATATTTTTATATGTCTTGTACAACATTTGCTAAAATATAAAATGTTATATTTAAAATATATTTAAACAAGAATAAGTTTTATTAGTTGCTTATATTTTCTTAAACATATAATCTAATATGTTAAATTTATGTTTAAAAAAAATACATTTTTGCAGTTACACAAAACTGTGGATAGTTTGCGTTACATCAGGTCAGCGTCTGCATAAAAATCGATGCAAATGGGCCAGGAGTCCATTGCGTTTGTGGTCACTGGCCTGTTGCATGTGAGCTTGCCGCAAAACTGATAATACTGCACCAATACTGGACCAATGAGGATCTTGTGCAAGCAGTAGTAGGTTAATAAGAAACAGTGGCTCAACTTATTTACAAAGGGACCGTGATAATGGTGTGTGTGTTCAAAAATACACACACACCTGAACTTTAATCTGACCTAGATCTGAGTACCATGTCGTCCAGTGCAGATTGACACTGGTGTCGTCTTCGTCATCGCTGTATCATTGTCTGTTAGGTTGAGGAAGCGGATGATTGGTTAAGGTATGGTAACCCCTGGGAGAAGGCCCGTCCTGAGTTCATGCTTCCTGTGCATTTCTATGGCCGTGTGGAGGAAGAGGAGGGAAAGGAGCCGAAATGGGTTGACACACAGGTTTGAAAACAGCTACAGGCATACAGAACATACACTCCCACAATATAGCATTACAGTACTTTGGCCAGGTTTGTAATGCATGTTTGTGGTGCAGGTGGTCCTGGCAATGCCGTACGACACGCCAATCCCTGGCTACATGAATAATACGGTGAACACCATGCGCCTGTGGTCTGCACGCGCTCCCAACGACTTCAATCTCCGAGACTGTGAGTCATTCAATTTCACACAATGGGTCACCAATACAATTTATCTGACATTTTTTGTAATTCCTTATAAGACAAACACTTGAAAATATTTTAATACTAAAATTAATGTAAAATCATAATTGAGCCTATTTTTGTGTTTTATTATGATGCAGTTAATTCATATTATTCCAAAGGTCTTCAGAATTTTTCAAGATATAATGTATATTAAAATAGATTTGAATAAAGTGTTCAACTGCTTGCATGGATAAAATCAAGCCTCATTTTCCTCATTTAATTATTCAGTCTAAAAGGCATAAGCAAAATAGGTGTGACCTTAATGGTATTGGAATTTATGTGTAATAATTCAATGATGGATGTTTTTGTTTTTACAGTTAATGTTGGTGATTATATCCAGGCAGTTTTGGACCGTAACTTAGCAGAAAACATTTCCCGCGTGCTCTATCCAAATGACAATGTAAGTTTTATTTGAGGCAGATTGGGGATTAAATGGCTTTTCTGTGTTTAAACTGCATTCATTATTGTTTGCAGAAAATTAGGCTTCATTTATCCAGTTTAAGCTTTTTGACACTTTGCAATTGGTGGGTGTTGTAGTTTTTTGAGGGAAAGGAGCTGCGTTTGAAGCAGGAATATTTCGTGGTTGCAGCAACTTTACAAGATGTGATTCGCCGCTTTAAGACCTCGAAGAGAAGCTTCTCTGGACCGTTGTCATTTGACAGCTTCCCTGATAAGGTCAACTTTACTACACACAACTGTTTTATCTAATTGAACTTTAAAGAAAGTCGCTGCATGGATTTGTGTGATTCTTCATGTATGTGTTTCAGGTTGCCATCCAGCTAAATGATACTCATCCTGCTATGGCCATACCTGAGCTGATGAGGATATTTGTGGACATTGAGAAACTGGACTGGGATTCAGTAAGATTCATAAATCTATGATACACTGTGACAGCCCATACAGATGTGTTTATCATGTGTTTTTTTTTTTTAATTGGTCAAATGTTGAAGTCTGAAGTCAAATAAGTAAAAAAAACTGTTACGAAACACACACAGAAAATCCAAGAGCAGTAGTTTTTAATAAAAGGGCAATCCAAACTCGTCATCATCCAGGCAGGGGTCCAAATCCAATAATCAATCCAAACACAAGAACAAAACAAAAACAAGAACCAGGCAGATACAGACATCAGAAGTGTGATGACATAAAACAAGGACTCTGTAACAAACACTAAACAGGCAGGGTATTTATACACGCAGAACATGAGCATCATGATGGGGGAACAGCTGAGCGCAATGAACAGTGATGAGCACAGACAAGGATTGTGGGGAATTTGAGCCCCGTTTACTTGAAGGGGAAAACGCAGATATTTCCTTTCGGATTGGCGTCTCGTTTACACGAAAACCCTGTTTTTATCACAGAAAACGATTATTTCTAAGAACTCCGGCCAAAGTGGAGATTTCTGAAAACGCCGGTTATGTGTTATCGTGTGAACTGGGAGAAACGGCGTTTTAGGTTCTCTCTTCTCGATTCTGATTGGCTTGCATGGCTTTATCCTTCTCCCTACACTGCCGCCCATAAGTTTGGCATTGTTATGATGGCGCTCGATGGCGTATTTATGCGGGTGTGTGAACGGTGTTATTTTTGAAAACAGAGAGGGGGAAAATATTCGCTAATATACTACTATCGCTAATATACTATTCGCTAAATACCCGGCTTTGTGTAAGCGTG